ACAAACAAACAAACAAACAAAGAAAGAAACCAACACACACATGCTTACGCACATACATACACTCAACGCAAATAGCAACACACACCGAACCATTCGCGCTGCGACCACTATCATGCGACGGCTGCAACATCAAGAGCAATGACACTAAACAGGATTCAAACATCTCCTTTGCTGTTTAAGAATCCGTACTTGCGGTCGTCGTCGTCCTTATCGTCGTCGACTTGGTCCTTGTTCAACCCGAGTCTTTGCTGAAACGTGTCAGGCCCTACATGGGCGGTTGTCCGAATTAGGGTCGGTTTTGGGTTCCCAAACTATAGGGTGCCGTATTAAGAGCAGAATTATTACCTAGGCTTCCCCCAAAGGGACCATGATTTTGGCAGTTACTTGTCAGCACCCTGTCAGCTTGCCCAAGGGGACTTTGGCTGCCGCTCCTTTCCTCCACCCCTGCACTTGGAGGATCATGGGACTTAGTAGCTAGGGTATTAAAAATAAGGTATCTACAATTATAACCCCCAATTAGGGTACTTATAACCTTACTTACTAAGTCCCATGATCCTCCTCACCCCTTGCAGGTGATCCTGAGTTGATGCTGAGTGAATGCCGGAACAAGCAGCACCTTGGCGTCCAAAGCCCTCGAAGCTGTAGAGCGACCTCTCGGCATCCCAAGATCCTCTCAACCTCCTGTTGCTCTAAGCCTTCAACCACCATACCAGCCGCGCCCGATGTCGGCCTTCCCTCACAGTCGTGCATCTTCACTCCTACTCTCCGAGCCTGGTTGTCATCACTGGTCAGTTGCTCGTTACATACATAAATACATGCATGCATGCATACACAGATATCTAGCGTGATAGGTAGATAGATAGATCGGCCGATAAAGATATACATATATATATATATATGTATGCATGCATGCATGGATGGATGTGTGTGTATGTATGTATGTATGTATGTATGTATGTATGTATGTATGTATGTATGGATGGATGGATGGATGGATGGATGGATGGATGGATGGATGGATGGATGGATGGATGTATGTATACAGACATATCCTGGTGGCTACTATGCTTCGTGAAAGCACATGCTGGGACATACCCGAAGGCAGCCTTCATCTGCTCATGACTTCATCGCAGGCGTCGAGTCTTTGCTTAGATATAAGTACACTATGATATCAAGTTTTAATCCTTGTAGAACTACAGTTTTAAATGTATCCCAAAACCTTACTGTCGTTATTAGGGGCCCTGGTGGTTTGACCATGGTGATCGTCGAATAAGAGAAAACTGCATTTGCACCGAAGGAAGACTTAAGGAAAGGGAGCTTTGTCGTGGACCCCTCTCCCCAGTTGCATGCCTTGTTTGCCACAGGGCTAGCAGCCCAAACATGTCGAGGATGGCTCCAGAGACATTGGATTGTGAGTCGCGGTGGGCCAGCATGAGAAGTAAATCGTGTCCAGGGTCCAGTGGTAGATAGCGTAGTCAGATCACATTTGCTTAGCCCGTTCGGGTGTTCAGTCATGCCGGTCATTCCAGCCGCGCTGCGAGAATACACCTCAGATCCAGATGAGGGAGAGGTGACACCGTCAACGGCCAGAGATCTGAAGGCATTGGCAGCAGATCCTGCAAGCCGAAGGGTTGCATTTCCCCAGAACAAGGGTGTGGCTACGGCTAATTTGCCTCTGCTGCCACCAGCACCACCAGAGGCAGATGATCGCAGCAGCAATCGGTCTCAGGCTTTGGAGCTGCAAGACAACAGCCCAGATAGCAGCAGAAGAGGAACAAGCAAGAACCCCGATTTCCGGCGCCGCACCACAAGCAAGGGGAAAGTTCAAGTCGCTGTGCCGGAGGACATTCCGCGCTTGCAACTAGAGCCTGGCGAGGACCGCGACATTGCTGGCCTTCCAGGAGTCAAAGAGTCGCACGTGAGGGAGGCCTTCCAGCAAATGGATTTCGACAGGAATGGATTCGTTGGAGTCAGTGAGCTTCGATATATGCTGACAGTCATTGGAGAGGAACCAACTGACCAGGAGTTGGATGAAATGCTGGCGATGCTCGGTGGCGAAGGAGATGGCCAAGTTGCATACGAGGACTTTCGAACTTTGTTTGCACCCACGAGTGCTGTGATGGAGGAACTGATGTCGATGGCTCCGCAAGAAGAAGAGGAAGAAGCCGCAGATGGTATAGCGCCCATAGAGGATGATGAGGAAGATGAGATTCCAAGGTTGGAAGCACCAGCTCAACAGCTGCTTAGTAGCAGAGTAAGGTACTATAATAATATAGGGGCCTTAATAATTACCTATACTATTTTGGGGGGTTCCTTATCATAATAGTATACTGGACAGACAAGTAACCTTTAACCTTTTTCGGGGTACTATAGGTCAACCTTCCGTTCTCCTAGTATAGGGGCCTTAATTCTTAATAGTTAGAATAGGGTTTTGGGTGATATTATGATTATACTATACCGATAATAAGGAACCTCCCAAATAGTATTGGTCATGATTTAGGCCCCTATACTAGGATGCTGGACAAAAAAGGTTGGGCTTGCTGGTCAAGGGAGCGGCGAGCTTCATGCAGGCCAGGATCAAGAAGGACCGGGCTCGGGGGTACTATGCTTCATTTGCTTTTTTGGGTGGGATCTGCTCTTTAAAGAAGCCACTACGAAATATCAGCGTAGAGTGTTTCTTTTCACATTTCAAAGCAGAAAGAGGAGGATGCTGGCAAGAAGAAGGCATCCCGGGCCAGGCCTAAGGCCAAAGCTCCCGGGTCGAATCGGGCACGGCCGATCTTGGGGCCTCCCAGGCATCTGATGCAGACGGGTCCTGCGGGGATGCCGGGTATGGGCATGGGTCATATGGGCATGGGCATGGCGCCTCCAAGCACGGGTCCTTTCAGAGGCACCTCGCAGCCGCCACCTGTTCCTGGGCACATGTCCAGCATGCCGCCATTGCCTCCAGGCTACTTGGTTGGAACTCAGAAGACCCACCACCAGCATGGTGTTGGACCTGGAGCGATGGGAGGCATGGGAGCTATGGGTGCAGGTGGAGCCATGGGAGCGCCAGGAATGCCTGGAATGCCAAATCAACCTGGGCAATTCCCACCGGGACATCCGGCACAACAAGGGCAGGCTCCTGCTGCGGTCGATCCACTCCTGCAGAGCACAGTCAGAAACTTCCAGGCAAATGCACCACCGAAGCATCTTACCTTCCTCGAATATCAGGAAATGAAGCTGGAGCACGAAGTGCACGAGAAGATGCGCCGGGACGCGGAATCTGACAGTGACTAGTGTGCCCAACTCGGACGAACGGTTTCTTGCCATTTGTTTCACCTCGACTATGCACTAAGTGCGAAAAAGCGGCAGCACGGCAGACCACATGTGGCGATCACGACGGCTCCTTCTTGTTTGAGGTCCGAGGCACGCTGGGAACGGTTGGGCAGGGCTCTCTTCCCCTGCACCCGCGACGCCAAACGACTGTACTTACTTACTACGTGTAGTCCGTGTAGACTTATGAAACGACCAAGGTTCCTCTTCATGTTGGGAATTTTGAACAAGAAAACGTCCTGACGAAGCTCAGGCTCTTGAAGCTTGTGGTAAGGCGCGCGACTGCAGCTGAGATGTGCCTGGCTGAGCGAATAGAGGGGGGAGAGGGGAGGTCCTTGTCTCCCTGCTGAAGACCCTAAACCCTAGTGGTGCAATTTGCACAAACCCAAAAACTCATCCCGAAGCCCTCCACCTCCCCAAACCATATATCATAACTAGTATGCCGTATGCCCCTGGAGCCCTAAACCCAGGCTTGGGGTCGTGGCAGTCTTCTTGGGCTTTCCTTAACGGTCGCTAGATGACACGAGGACTGGACAAGCCGCCCAACCGAGGGCTGCCGACAGTTTTGGCGAGCATGTGGGGTTTAGGGTTTATAGGGTTTAGGGGGCTTATAGGGTTTATGGGGTTTAGGGGGCTTATAGGGTTTATAGGGTTTAGGGGGCTTATAGGGTTTATGGGGTTTGTAGGGTCTAGTGGAAATAGGGTTGATAGGGCTTTTAGGGTTTATAGGGTTTAGGGGGTTGCCGACAGTTTTGGCAAGCATGTGGCAAGGTAGCATGGATTATGCTTGTCAGGCTCTGGGGGAGCCCATATCACACTAACCATCTTTTGAAAAAGCTAAGGGCGCAGTTGCAACCCTGGGCCCTGAACCAAAGCCAAGGGACATCCGACAAACTCAGCTCAGCTGTTTAGGGCCAGGCCTTTAGTTGAACTCAGTTTGAATGCTCGCCG